GGTATTCATATCAGAATTCTTTTATTTCTTTCTTCTTCCATTTTATCTATTAAAGTGGAAACTTTATTGCCTTTTCATATTTTATGGCTACTTTAACTTGAAACAACAAATTTGTCGGGATCAAGTACTTTAAAATTTGTTATCAGTTTTTTCAACTTTTATGTTCTTTGCTTATTTACTTATCTGAAGTCATTTTTTTCTTTCTCCTTTTTGTTTATACTATACTAAATTAATTTTCGTTTATACCAAATTAATTTTGTTACATAAAAAGTTGCCTTATGGTCGGTAGCAACCGGACTTGTTTACTTTCGCCATCAACAATGCCAAAATATTGCGATAGGTGCTTGGCTTGATTTTGTTGTTCGGATTCGGTTGGTTTCTATTTCGTTTACCATTTTTCCGATTTAGCTATTCAGGGACTTCCTTTCTTAAATATTACCAATTTTTAGTATTTCAGGTTCTCAGGTTCTTGTCTAATGCTTGCATTAAACTTCGAGATTTTGTGCGATAAAAGATTTTTATGATTTTTTGACAAAAAGTGGTGTGCAGCTTGAAGTTTTAAATTTCACTTCGCAGTTTTTTCATTTCGTAACATTTGCCATGCAAGCTTGTTGAGAATCCTTTTTTTTCAACTATATGAGGGTAGTAAAGTGGTGATAGTTTTAGCTCACAGATAAACTTTTTTTTTTGAAGTTAGTGGCTAATATTTTTTTGAAAATTTTTGAAGTTAGTGTCTAATAAAGAGTATGGAATTTCCTTTTGAAGTTTTATTTTTAACTTTATAGGCATGGTGGTGTTTTAGAAGCTCATAAATTGAAGTATTCAGAGATCCAGATGGTACCGACAAGGGAGTTTGAGGGTAAAGCTCAGGTAATTGTTAGCTTCTGTTTCATAAAGGTAAATTAAAATACTAACATGAAATCGTCCATTTTTTGTTTCTAATAGCTCATGGTGAATGAGAATCATTCCCATTAATATGCAATCATATGATGATATTCCTGAAATTTCTAGATATGTCAGAAAATGAAGATACCGGAAAATTCACCCGAAAAAGATTGGATTTGGGAGAGTGATGTTGTTGGAAAAGTTTTGGTAGATTCGGAGCAATTTAAAAACTCAGTGATGGATCAGTGGGATGATTTAGCTGGAAGTATTGCATATGTCTGGATTTCTTGCGATCAGTTTAACTCTACAGTGCGTTGGAAATTTCATTCTTTCGTCCAGCCTAACGAATACGTTAGTTTATATTATACACATCATTTATGTGTTAGTTTATGAGTATATTGTACACGTCATTTATACATTAATTTATATTACACGTGTCATTTATACGTTAATTTGTATTATATACGTCAGGTAACATAGTTTATATAGTTACATTCATTTGATGTTTGTACGTTTGATTGGTTGTTTTGCTAAATTATTTGTATAGACAAAAATTTGCACCAAATTCTCATTTCAGTATATGAGGTGCTAGAATTCATTCCAAATGCTAAGAAGTACAGTAAGATTTTGAGTTGAGTCAACGATGAAGCACTTGAGATCATGCACTGTAATTTTATTCAGCATTGTATCATTAAAATTTCAAATACTTTTCAGACAGAAACAGAAGAAGATGCTGAAAATATTGAACGTTTCGCAGATTTGGTTATATTGTAACGCCGAAATTCCTTTTCTTTTTTTTTTTGTCGAATTATTCATTGATAAATTTTTCAATTTGAAGAAGATTTTTAAGCGCTTTGATAATGGTGTTTAAAGATTTGATAATCACCTCAGATCTTGCATCGGATATTGACCTTTGAAAATATTGATTTTTCAAAGATACTGGTCTTGGATAATGAACCTTAAAAGATATTAAATTTTCAAAGTCTTCTTTTCTTCTTCTCTGTTCTGTTTCGTTTAACAATTGTTTTTTTTAACCTGTTTCGTGTTCTTTTGTGTCATTATTGTTTTATCCAGTCCAATTATTGAAATAATATCTCATATTGATATGAGATAACTTGATTTTTTCAAGAAAACAATAACCAATAAGGTATAGCTCACTGATATTTCGTTATTAATCGGCACCAAAAGGTGATGGTTCATTGAAATCTATCGCAACCGATCGATATTGAAAGATCCTTTACGGAATAATTGTGTGAGTTCTTTCAATTATGTGAGGATATTCGTATACAAATAGTAAATTTACCATTTTAAAAGTTTCCGCATGAAGTAGTAGGTTGTGAACTGGAAATAGATGATATATATATATATATATATATATCCGATAAAGATGTTTAGGATTTGAGACGCTGCTGAACAGTTTTATTCATGCTACAACATATGTTGTACAGATGGTATAATCGATTCATCTAATAGGAATTCTGGAATTTCTGAAGTAAAATTAAAAATAATGGATTGTAATCAACATAGTCCGATCAACAAGAAATCTTTCCTTTTACATCTTGTTTTAGTTGAGTTATTGTTTTACATTACTTTTGTCTTTGTTTTTTCTCTTTTATTTATGCTCATATATTATAAAAGGAAATCAGTGGTATTATGATCTGAATGTTTCATTTTGGTCTGATCTAAAAATACTCTACATTCGTGGTAGATTTTCTGTAAACATCAAACATGATAATGCAATTGAACAAATTAAGAATGATTTGAAGGTGGTTGTCTATCTTTCCTTGTAGAATTACATGACACGGGAAAAACTTGACGATTTATTCTAAGTGTTAGTTTGACAGGCTAAATTGGATGGAAGTAACTTTTCAGGAATATGATTTGATGGGCAGATAGTCTGGCATTTGATAGTGCTAAGCAACTAGCATGAAATATACTAGACTGGATGAAGGGGAAGAGCAGTTGCGCTCATACTCGCATATAAATGCATTTTTGCAAGTTTCCGGATTAGTTTTCAAAATCTAGATTGTAATGCCAAGATGTGAAGTCGGTTTTAAAATTAAAATTGGGAAGCCGGATGGTTTATCAATATAACAGGGTATAGGGCTGCAAATTTCAATTTTGACAATGGGACGCGTTTTAGATTATGGTGCAATGCGAATTTTGGGTACCTAGGCAGGGTGGCTGCAAGTTTATTTATTGGTTTGGTGGTGTGTGTACGTGACTGTAGGTGTTACAAGTGATGGGTACACTTACGTCGCACACATAAACGTACGTGGGAGATATGTGCACATGTGTTAGTATGTGTACATGTTCCTTTTACCAAAATTCCGCTTTTATTGATGATTTTTGAGAAATGTTGGGTTTGGTTGTCCAAAAGCGCAAATCTCCCCGTATTTGCTTCAGAAATGCAATTTATCCAATACAAACGGTAACAATATTATTTCCATGCGTGGTAGACAAAATATTCGTAGGGACATAATGAAAACGATTAGCATCTAATTCGTGAAATTTGCAGGTATTATTCACTACGCGTGAAGGTACTATAAAATGAGTAAGATTCCACGTGATACGCTAATCGAATGTGTCAATGAGGTGTTGAAGGCGTCGAAGGAGAAGAAGCGGAAATTTCGTGAAACAGTAGAATTGCAAATAGCACTGAAGAATTATGATCCTCAGAAAGATAAACGTTTCAGTGGATCAGTAAGGTATTACCAACAGCCATCATCAGCGCCAATTAATTCATTTCTACAGCATGCCTACTCTTTCCATTCATGTTTAACAACTGATAGGGATGAGCAGGAAGTCGTTTAATATAAACGGCGATGACTCTAACCCAGAGTCTTGAAATAATGGGGAGGATTTCATGCTGATTACTGTTTTTCATTGTTTGAAATCCGATCTGATTATGTTAATAAATAACGAACGAACAGTAAGCATTACGTTCCTTCTTATTATCAAAAGAATGATAGAGGAATTATGAGTTGATATGAAAGGGTGACAGGATTATTTGGGTTAAGAGAATGAAAAATTCATTTCATTCATTGTTCGAATGATAGTGAGTGGATGAAATAGAATAAGATAGAGACAGAATACCGTAGGACAGAATGCTATTAAAAAAGGGATTGAGTGGAGTTGGATGAAGCAAAGAGAAAGTAGAATATACAAGGTAGATATAGCAAGTAGAATATAGCAAGGTAGATCTCCTTTTATGTCAAGATTTTAAGTTGACAGAAGTTTCTGAAACATTTCTTTGTAGTTTCGGTTCTCGTTACATTTACAATTTAGGCTGAAAAATATCCCAAGACCAAACATGAAAGTGTGTGTACTTGGTGATCAGCAACACTGCGATGAAGCGAACGCAAACAGTATACCGTGCATGAATGCAGATGAATTGAAAAAACTGAACAAAAATAAGAAACTCATTAAAAAACTGGCAAAGGTTCCATTCACTTCTTTTCCATCAGTCTTTTTCGTTGATTGCACCGGTATCAGATATTTGCTGTTGGTTAATCTTTATTTGTCGAGCAGTTATAGTACTGGTCACTGTTATGTTTCGAGAAAAAAATATGTATTGTTGTCACTGATAGCAATGTTAGAAAAACGTTTCTCATTTTTCAGGGATATGATGCTTTCTTGGCTTCGGAAGCTTTGATCAAGCAGATTCCACGTATACTTGGTCCAGGTCTAAATAAGGCTGGTAAATTCCCAAGTGTTGTTGCTCATTCTGAAACATTAATAACTAAAATTGAAGAGATTCGTTCAACGATCAAATTTCAAATGAAAAAGGTAAGTGCTTTCATTATTTGAAATGGTCAAATGTTGTCAAAACTGCCATGTTTGGAGATTTCAAGCACTGATGGTTGTTCTTGACATTTATCAAAGCAAGATTTTAATTGCAGGTATTATGCTTATCGGTAGCAATCGGGCATGTTGGAATGACAACGGAAGAGCTCGTTTCTAATATCGCACTTTCTATCAATTTTCTTGTGTCATTGTTGAAGAAAAATTGGCAAAATGTGAGATCGCTACACATAAAAAGTACAATGGGGCCACCCCAACGACTTTATTGATTTTTGTTGTGTTGTCAACCGTTAGTGTTGTTGCATTATCTGAAATGATAAACTGTTTGTACTCGATTGGTTTGAATGTGTGGAACCTTCGAATTACACTATCGTTTGGAAGTCGGTGATGCCTTCTTAAGATAATCTCAAAAATGTCTGGTTGAGAAATTCGACAGTTCAGTGTGTAATTCCAGAAATGGTGTTCTATAATGGATCACAAATAAATAGAATGATAGAATTTTGCTGAAGGGACTTTTTGTAGCTGCAAGTGATAATATCCTTGTGATACATTCCGGAATTTTCTAGGTATCGGTGAACAATATTTTGCTAGTTTTTCTTGTTGAGATCTGAGGTTGCATATTGTAACATGATTGGCATAGTGTGTTTCCCAGAAGTTGGTAGAGAATAGTTGACATTTCCAACATACCTTCTCCGGATTCACTGAGTCGATGTATGCATTTTGAATGTAAATCTTATGGATTCATCCAACCGCATGTATCCGTTTCAAAATAAATTTTTAGATTTATTCAATTGAATGTATG